CAGTTATCTTCTATCTCTTATGAACTTGAAAGCGTGATGAAGTGGGTGTAGAATTATTCTCAGATTGATGCACTATATAGATAATGTTTTTAGGAAAAATGTAATGGAAATGTTAAATTTTAAATTCAAAATAAACAATTACCATTTATCACATCACAGAGTACATTCTTTCTCAAATGGGTTAAATTGTGTGAGGTTATAGCAGAAAACGATGTCCTGTATATGTAATTTCTATCGTAAACAAAATAGTGTATTAATATATATTTTATGGAGAAGTGCAACTTTTATTCAAACTTTGTTTACGCATGAGTTATAAATTTATTCATTAATTTTTATACATGATAGCCTTTTGAAAATTAAAGCTTTGGTCGAAAATTCTTTTTTTATGTGCATTAAAATGTAAAAATAAAATCCACTAAAAATTTGACTACACAAAAAATAAAAACATGACAATTAAAAGTTAGTCCCTAAACGATGTTGATAATAATTATAATAATAATAACAATTAAAACAATAATAATCATAATATGAATAATAATAGTAATATTAATTATAAGATTATTATTATTAATCTTTATATAAACTAATATTTAAAGCATTAGTTACCAATTTCGTAAAAATAAAAACAATATATAAAAAGAAAGGATCTTTTAATGCCATATTAATTTAATTGAACATTAATTATTTTTGTATATAGTAAAAAACATTCTAATTCTAATAAAAATTGTGCTTCATTTTAAAATTAGTATTTTCCATTTTAAAATTATTACATTCCATTAATAGCTTTGAAAAAATTGTCACATTTGTGTCACAAAAATTATTATCTTTCAATAATAACTATCTAAAATAGTAAAAGTGGGTACGATAATATTTATGTGTAATAAGTTAGTTTTAATTAGCATTCTTAATTGATATATTTATGATATAATATTAGTTGTTATTAATGCATTCTGGAGGCCGAATCAATAAATTGGATTACAAAAGTATGTAAAAATTAATGTTAAGTTCTAAGATGATAATTTTTTGCATTTTTTATATAAATAAGGCATGTCTTATTTTAAAAACGGATTAAACGTAATGTATAACTCATTTGCCTTTAGATATTCGTAATATGCGGAATTTAAACACAATTACGGAGTGATATTTAATATTATTATTTAATAGTAACTGCCATTGTTTAATTAACATTATACCATAAAAATTCTGACTTTTAACACAATAGGAATATGTTTGTTTAAGCACATTTATTAGAAACATAAAAACATGGATTTTTGAAACATGCTTGTTTGATAGATTGATGTCACATAAAAGTCCAAAGCTTGTATTTTGATGTGTGTTTATTGAAAAAATATCTTCTTCAGTGCTCTTTTTAAAGCACTTGTAATGGTGAAATGAATAAAAGAATAGGAAAAATTATTCTTTTAGGAATAAAGAATAAACGAATTTAACAGCAAGTCACAATCAATTTTATACCTCACATTCCTTTAAATTTGTATACATTCATCAAAGATTTATTAATTTTTATGTACATACCTCACAAAACTTCAACATCTCGAAGCATGACCTATGTAGCAACAAACATGAAACGGTCTCAAATATTACAAATGTTGCACTATCAAATGCATCGTTCACTTTAGCCTTAATTCATACCTGCATATATTAATTATTTTAATAAGTCACTTTCAAAGAATTCATATAATTTAACTTTTTGTGTAAAAGCAGACAAATTTAAGGCTAGTCTATACAACTCTAATAGCATACTCCCTTCGTCCTAAAATTAATTTCCCAGTTTGACTTTTGCAGTCAAATTTTTTAAACTTTGACCATAGATTAATGAAAAATACATTGAATTTTCATATAAATTTATTAGCAATAAATTCATTTGGGAATATAATTTTGAAATATATAATTTTTATAAAATATATTTATATAAAAGTTGAGATATTGATGGTCAAAGTGTTGCATTGGAGACCGTGAAAAGTCAAATGGGAAGTTAATTTTAGGACGGAGGGAGTATTATTTAAAGGAGAGATCCACCTGGTATACTCAGATTTGCCTCTTTAGACAACTATTGTTATAGGGAAGATTGCTTCTTCATGTTTGGAAATATCTGCCTCTACTATTACAGGGGAGATTGTCTCAGATTGCCTTTATTTTTTCAGATTTGTCTCTTCATGTTTGGAAATATTTTTTCCAATATAGAATAATGCCTCAGACTAATCAAAATTTATAAATAACACCTGGTATACTAAGTCTATTTAGAAACAATGCCTCATATTGGCCTCTTTAGACAACTATTGTTACAGGGTGTATACACTTATTGTTTTTTTAGTTGATGCAGTCCACTAAAAAAATTATTTTAGTATATAAAGGAGAGATCGAGTTGGTATAGTTTGATACTAAATTAAAAAAGGCTTTTGAAACTATCCAGAAACTATGATAGCATTTTACTTCTGATTAATAAATGGAAGTAAGAATTGCCCAACTCAGAATTTATATGGGCTAACCAGTACTTGAGCAACTACTTCCTTCCTTTGAAATTTCATTATTCAATTTTTGAGAAAACGAAAGGCAGTAGTTTCAATGGAAATCCCATTTCTTCAAGTTTCGAAAATGGAAGGCAGTAGTTTCAAACTAAAACTCTCCAGCATTCACTTGTTGGATTGATTTTCAACAAAAGGTGAATGGGTTTAGAAGACATGTCAATTGCTCAAAGATATTAGGAATGAGCACGTCTTACAAACCAAGAATAGAAATTGATTTATAGATAACCTCAGGCGAAAAATTATAGGAAATAGACCCCATACAAAGAAATTATCAGACCATTCAAACGAAGCATTCATAGAGGGATCAGACCATTCAGGCGAAGAAATTTATAAAGTACTCAAAGAAGTCAGACGAAGAATCTCAAAGTATAAAAATAAGGAAACTTACCGTACTTGGGCAAGAGGTTGATGTCAAAGGCTGGAAATCCGTTAAACTCGCCAGGAAAGGAAAGAAAGTGGGCGAAGGAAAACACATCTCCATATCCAATAATTTCAAAGAAATTTCGCTGGTCTCAGTTTCGTTCGTGAAGGAAACTTACCGTATTTGCGATCTTCTCCATATCGTATAATTTACCTGAAATTTCGCAGGCAGTGAGTGGGTGATGAAGTCTCGACAGCCAGATCCCTAAAATTTCGAATGATGATATCTCCAAATCTTCAAAGGAGCGGCGATGATGATATCTCCAGATCCCGATTGTGTGGGTGAGCCTCTCGATATTTCATCTAGATCCGCAGATATGGACCGGGTCATCTAGATCCGCCGATTCCCACTCTTGATGACATGGCTGATTAGGTGTCAAAAAATAATCCAATCATCCCGCCAAATGTCGCAATTCTGAGAGTTGAACTCTCAAATATAATATATAAAGGATTGAAAGTTAACAAATACACAAGGAGTTTCCAAAAGAGAGAGAAAAACAATTATGCACTTTAAAGGCATATGAACCTTTTCAAATAAAATAAATGTTTATTAATTAGTAATTATTATATCAAAATTAAAGATTCATTATATATAGAAAAATATATAAAAAAACATTGGACAAAAAGATGTCATCATTTTTTCTATTCACAAACATAACATCTTTCATTATACTTGATTTACAAAAAAAACTTTCATTGCACTTTAGTGCTTGTTTGGTAACAATTTTAACATTTAACTTTAGTGGTCTAAAACGCTATCTAAATGTAACATTTAGCTTTAATATTTTCAAAGTTAATCTACACAATTAAAAAAACATTCATAATGCTAACTAAAAACGTTGTTCCCAAGTAAAGCTTTAAGAGTAGTGGAAATGCTAACTTACCTCACTAATTCACTGGAAATGTGTTTGAAACCTCATGGTTTCAAATCTTTATTTTTTACATTTTAAATATACATCTTCTAAATTTAGATTAATAAAATTGAATTATTTAATTTTATTCTTTAAAAAATTACATTCATGAACAACAAATACATTCCTTAATTTTAAAAAATTACATTCGTTGATTGAATAAAAAAGTACACGGTGCGATAACAGGAAAGGGGGGTGGTGGGGAGGGGGGGCTCCAACGACCGAATTTTAGCCTACCATTTGCGTCAAAAGTTTAACGCTGCAAAAATAACGGTGCTATAATGAGAAAGGGAGGCGGTGTTTAACGTCTCCATGTAAATCAACATAATGCCTGTGGGCGTTAGTGGTATTACCACGGCTCTAATATTCACATTTCCTTTGTTCCTAAATGACTTTCACATGCATTATTCTTTACGATTTTTGGTTAGTGTTATTCTAAATTCAATTTATTTAATTATTTGTGTAAACTTCAAAAAAACTATTTGTGTAAAATTAAAGGTTTCTCCCTTCATCCAAAAATAAATTACACATTTTTCTTGTTTTCTTTAAGATAAAAAAATGTGTCACTCAAATCATTTTTCTTTATTCTAACTTCTTAATTCTTATGAAACTTTGATTGACATGATTGTTCCTTGAAGTTTTGAAAAATTAATTGTGGTAAGTCCAAATGTCGAAGGGGCTAGGTTGGGGTAGCAGTGGGGTAGGGGAGAAGGTTTAGAGGAGAGTTGGGAATAGTAACTATTAATTTTTCGAACGAAAGACTGTACGTGTCCCAAATGAGTAGTGGGAACTGTCAACTAGACATCCCAATATATAGTATCGAACCGAATTGATCTGAAATAATAATAACACTCCGTAATACATATCCAAAATAAATCAAAACTGAATAAATCCGAACTAGAATCGAACTGATTGATCCAATGCTAGGTCTAATGCCAACCAATGCCATCGTAACACATCATCAATAGAATCGGACCAAACTTCTTATCATACACTTCCAGTCTCCAATCATTTTCTTAAAAAATACTCCGTATATAGAAGTTTCTTTCATCCCAGAACAAGTTTTCCATTTTCTTTCTCGATTTCTTCCAAACTAAGCTTCTCATTCTTTTTTAGAAAAATATTGAATGTGTTTACATTATTTCTCTCCCCTTTCCATAAACATCACCACCAATAGTTGCAGGCCTTGAACCTGATGGTTCACATCACAACTATAGAAAAAAAGGGATGAACAATTGATTAAGGGAACACATTAAAGGTGTAATTTTCCCATCAATTAATTAACTAATTACAAAATTTGGCCACATCTAAATTTACAAGAAGGCTATATTCAGACAAACCTCCATGTATGTAGCACTGGTAGGAGAGGGAAAGTGACACTCCTCTGGCTTTTTGCAGGGAATAAGAAGACCTATCCAACAAAAAAGTATACACATAATTAGAATCAATCACAAGTGTTTTCCAAAGATTCTGTTTCAATCTCGTCTTTGTCTTCATCCTCTTCAGAGTCGGCAAAAGTGTCGAAAAAGGCATCAAGGTACCAGGGGCATCTTTCATTCCAGTCACCCCTGGTGGCATTAGCTCGCCATTTTTGGTCTGCTATCATATCAGAGCAAAGCCCCCAAGACTGCATCTCTTCCTCCGAATGATGCACTGCTAGACTATACTCTCCACCCATTCCCAGCTGCATGACACGAAACTCACAATTCCCTAGGTTACCCAACCGCTCAAATTGCTTCACCGTCCACTTGAACCATTTCATAAGGAAGACGCGTATAGCCAGCCCGTGGGATATGATCACGAGATTTAAGTCATCACCAGGGCCTTGGTGAAGTCTGTTCATGTCTATGTCTCTCCAAAGCGATTCAAGGAAGCCTGCATGTTGCCAGTAGGGCATTCTTTCTTAAGTTCTTCTTAAAACTAAGAACAATGCATCATGTCTCCAACAGCAGAAACTTGTAGATTTTACTAGAAATCTGAATATCAAACAAACATATAGAATAGAGTGGAAGATTCAATTTTGCACCTGATAGAGAAGGACAATGCCTAGACTTATTTTTTTATGATTTTTAGTGTAAACATTGCCAGTACTCACCTAATGTCAACTAGATATCAGGTTCACTGTGATACTTTTCGCACTAAACAGAGACTTAACGTCACAAATACTTCTTACTGTCCATGTAAAAGAGGTCTATAATGATATTGATCAGTACCAAGAATTCTTTAGATCATGCTTTGAAAGATAATTGAAGATAGTAGAAACCAATAGATGTGATAATTGTGTAACAGGAAGTTCTTTTGGAGGGTCTACCATTGTCCCTCTGATCAACAATAGAATAATTCTTTGACAAAACTAGAAGTTTTGTTGAACAAATTATAGAATGCAATGACAAATTGAGACTCTAAGAGGCTAAGAGCAGTCAATAGAATTTTTTTCTGAAAGAAGATGACTTATCAAATATATAAGTACTTCTTGTCTTCTTGAAAGGTATCTACATAAGAGCAAGTAAAAAGGAGCTAACCCCCAGCATAATGTTTTCTCCCCTTTTTGCAAAGTATGGGAGAATGTTGTTGCATACCACATATTGTATAGTGACAACGAGGTGCAGAACTGTCTGGCAACATTAAATGTGTGCACCCTCAATGTCAATCCCGATGTGCGGGATCTCATTTACGTGGTGTAAGGCCATGCCCGGGGGGGTGAAACGCTTGTTAAGCACTTAAGCACCATGAATGATTGAATAGACAACTATGTCAAGAAAAGGTAAACCTGATATCAAAGACTCAAAGTTACTTAGAAGCTGTTCGAGACTAACAGCGTAAGATCAGAATAAAACTCTCCAAGATGCAAAATATAATTCTTTTCATTACTTTTCCCTTTTTCAAACTTTATATCTATTAAAACTATTCTAAGACATGGATAGTCCATAAAGAAGTTAAGATACTTGTAAGAAATACTGTTTCCATTTTATTAGAGCTAGATCATTCTGTGCTCACATACTTTTATAGAAAGACTTTTGCTGCAAGAATATAAATTTGAGCCTAGCTGTCAATTGCCATTTATCCACTTTCAATCCATTCAATATACTCCCTCCGTTCATTAAATTCTTTTTCACTTTTCTTTTTGGATGACCCATCCAAAAATTTCTTTCCTGTTTTCTATTTTGGAAAAAAACTTTTTATGAATGTGCCATTGTACCTTACTTTTTTCTATACTATTTACTTTATTTTATTACATCAAAGGCAAAACATAGAAAGTCTTTATATTTTTTAATTTTTCTTAATTTTCGTGCCAAGTAAAATCGAGAAAGAAAATTTTGGACAAGTTCAATATTTATACATCAATGAGAACGTCAAAGTTGCAAGTTTCAAATGTGAGAGAGCACTTTCTAAACTATACTTATGTGTATCCCAAAGCTGTACAGTCAACCAAAGAATGCTACTTCACATTTCAACATAAAAATGCATCTTGGAAATGCAAAAATAAAAGGAATAAATAAAGCACGAAAAAAGGCATAAAGCGAAACGCTTTAAGAAAAGAAAAGAACTTACTGGAAACCCGATCAAAAACATCTGCGGCCGATTCTCCTTCAGGGAAGCGGAAGAAAAACCGGCCGAACTTCTCCCGGTTCTCCTTGGAAGTCTTCATCCGATCGGCGACCTGGAAGTTCCCAAAATCCTGTTCCCGGATCCGGCATTCCTCCCTCACCCCAATAACTCGTTTCCGGGGGAAGGCACGGCCGATCTCACGGAGAGTGGAGCGGGTCCTTTCGTAAGGGGAGACATAGAAGTAGATCTTCCAGGAGCGGGAGGATCCCTGATCGGAAATGACATCCCTAATGCGCCACCCGGCGAGCTCGGCCTGCTCGAATCCCTGTGAGGTCAGAGGGATCTTGTGATCGGGGATCACGGTGTAAGCGGCGTCGTCCTTGTTGCCTTGGCTCTCGCCGTGGCGCACTAAGATAATGCGTTTGGGGAGATGCTTGTGGTGGTGAGGAGGAGGAGGAGGATGACGGTGATCGCCGCTATTGCTGCTGCTGCTGCTACAACTGCAGCTGCAATGGCTGTTGTTCATACTTTGCGGCCACACACAGTGTGTCTCGAGGGTTTCCGATGGTGGAATAATGGAAAATCAATGAATGTGGAATTATTGGATTGATGGATTTGGGCAGGGGAAATGCGGGATTTGATCATGGAGGCGAACCAGGGCTGGGCTGGTATGGGATTCGATTTTGCTTTAACAAATATGAAAGAATTAAAAAAAAGATTAAACTAAAGTGGATTGATAAAGGTGAAAAAGCTTCCCAGCATATGAGCAAACATTCCTTTCATGTAAAGGATACCTCATTGGGGGGCAAATTCCTTCTGCGCCAAGAGCCCGAGAGTTGGGCTATGATCCAATTTGCCTAATGATCTTCTAATATGAGTACTCTCTCTATTCATATTTTGATTATAATTTTATTTTTTCTTTGTTTTTGAAAAATTTTGTTTATTTATATATTTTCGTTAATTATTTGATAAAATAAATTATTCATATCATCTTTTATTTTGTAGAACTTTGGATGTAATTTTGTAACATGTAATTTTTATTTTCTTATTGAGATACCGATTTATAAATAAAATGATTTCAAAAACCGTGGAATTTTACCTCGTTATTACCATTTTTTTAATAAAAATAGGGATAGAGGAAATATTTTAGAATATTTAGGTCATGTTCTCTTCACCTGATCTGAACAATTCTGATATGATTAGAATAAGATTTGATCTAATCTGATTCGAATGTAGTTATATATAAAACGTTTTTTGATTTGGTGTAATCTGCTCTAAACTGATTCAAATAATAATAAATAATAAATAATAAAAATAAGTTGAAGAAAATATGGCCCTAGTATAATCTGATTTAATCTGATTTCATTCAATTGGATCTGATCTCATCTAATAGGAACTTATGTGAGTAGATCTTATTTAATTTGATTAGATCTAATCTGGTTTGAAAATCTGATTGGACCCAATCTGACTAGGCCTAATCTAATTTATATAAATTTGATTTGATCCAAACAAAAATTTAAATTATTAAAATAACTTTATTATTATTACTAGTTATTATTATTACAATTGTTATTACTATTTTTACGATGATTATTACTTCCTCCGTCTCACTATATTTGTCCACTTTCATTTTTGCACACCATCCAATACACTTCTTTAATCCATTTTATCTTGTAATTTGTATTTTAAAAAATTATAGAAATTATATATTAATAATCTATATGTTAAGACAAATCAAGCAAGATCACGCATGACTATATTTAGGCTTACACATTGAGAGAATTTGATGAGTCAAAGTGCTTAGATGAACAGTTCCAAAAGTCAAAAGTGGACGAATATAGCGGGACGGAGGGAGTATGTGTTATATAAAAAATTCCTACTGCGCCAGAGCCCAAAAGTTGGGCTATGATCCAATTTGCCTAATGATCTTCTAATATGATACTCTCTCCGTACATATTTTGATTAGGGAGAAAGACTAAAGTAGGATCAAAACATTAAAAATATACTAAAATAGGGCTTTATTATATTTTTATTCCTAAAATAGGACTTAAAATGCACTTACATTACCAAACATGGTCATGTACATTACCAAAAGAGTAAATTCCATAATTGATCTTTATGACAGGGAGTTTCCATATTTAGTCCTCTATTATCAAATATTACCCTCGTAGTCCTTTTTTTAAGGGCGTCTTTCCACAAATGATCCTTTTTTGATCTTCCGCCATGTAGGTGTTAATTTAAAGGTTAAAAGTATAATTTGACATCAACATTATGTCCATTGACGTGTTCTGATATTGATTAAACGGATAGCACAAAAATAATGACTATGATTGTGGGCTAAGATTCCGACGGAAGACCACATTTGTACGCTATGATTGTAGTAGAAAGCGAATGTAATTCATAAACGACGCAAACGAAACAATATTTGGAATTGTGTATGACAAAAATGATATATTATCATTGTGAAATTATAGTTTTAGCCATCAAATTAACTCCAACATAATAGAAGATCAAAAAAGGACTATTTGTGGAAAGATACCTATAAAAGAAGAACCACTTGAATAATATTTGATAATAGAGGACTAAATAGGGAAACCCTTCTGTTATAAAAGACTAATTATGAAATTTACTCTTACCAAAAGTAATGTAATGTGCACATGTACAGACGTACAGTGCCACATTACAATCACATTACCACAATGCGAATTCCTATTTCGAGAAAAAAAACATGAAGTTCTATTTTGATATTTTTCTCATGCTTTAGTCATATTTAGGGTGATTTCTAGTTTGATTACAATTTTATTTTTTTCTGTTCTTGAAAACTTTTGTTCATTTATATGTTTTTGTTAATTATTTGATAAAATAAAATATTCTTATCACCTCTTATTTTGTAGAACTTTGGATATAGTCTTGTAACATGTAATTTTTATTTCTTATTAAGATACCGATTTGTAAATAAAATGATTTAAAAAATCATGGAACTTTACCTCATTATTACCATTTTGTAATAAAAATAGGGACGGAGGAAGTAAGATTTGATAAGATTTAATCTAATCTGATCTGAATGTAGTTATATTTAAAGATCTTACTTATTTGGTGTGATCGGCTTTGAACTGATTTAAATAATAAAAAATAATAATTACTACGTAATAAAAATAAATTGAAGAGAATATGGCCCTATTCTAATCTGATTAAATCTGATTTGCTTCAACTGGATCTAATCTCATCCAATAGAATCTTATGTGATTGGATCTTATTTGATCTGATTAGATCTAATCTAGTCTGAGAATCTGACAGGATTTAATCTAACTAGACCTAATCTAATTTATATAAATTTGATTTGATCCAAACAAAAATTTAAATTATTAAAATAACTTTATTATTATGACTAGTTATTATTATTCCTATTGTTATTACTATTATTATTACGATTATCATTATTATTATTATTACTATTGTTATTTATGTGTTATATGAAAAAAACGAGTAATATACTGAAGATGTAGAAAAAGAAAATCATTGACAATAACAAATTATTGGAAAACATGGATACTATGTTAAAAAAATCACTCTTTATTTTTTCCTATTGTGTGTGTGTGGAAAGATATATATCTTTTCATGTGTGTGTGTGTATATATATATATATATATATATATAGGGTGGTTTAAGTGAGAATGCACCTTGATGAAAGAAATAAGAATAAAATTTAGCCTTTAGACTGGACTGAAGGAGAAGGAGGATGGGAAGAAGGTTGAGAAAAAGGATTGGAGGAATAATGGGATACAGCCTCGTCATATCCATACGAATGGATTGTCTGGTTTTGGTTATCTGAAGAAGACATGACCAGGAGGAGATGAAGGAATGAGGACTCGGTTCACCAGAAAAAGACTTGGAGGACTGACAGGGACGCCAGATACTTTCTCGGAGGACTTGACGAACGACGAACTAACGCTCTCAAAAGAAAAGGCAAAAGTGGAAGTGGAAGAGAGGGAGAGACCCTTATATAGGGGAAAGGGCCTTGATCCCCGGCTTGTAACATGTCGTCCACCCCTACGAACTAGAGAAGGACACATGGTGGGGGGGGGGGGGTAATGATTGTGTGACACAAGTCATGATTATCACCTGGGGAAGGCGAATCGACACAACAGCTGGCAAGTGGGCGGTTGGAGTCCAAAATTCAAATTTTGAAAATTGAAATTTTGGGCGGCAAGATGATTATGACGAAAAATTTAGAAAAACTCCGATATCTTTAAATTTGAAGTTACTTCGCGCCCTTGATAGTTTCTACAAGGCCGCAAAGTGGATGACTTATTGATGGGTGTATTTTAACCCTGAACACATGCGGTGCCCATTGCTAAAATTATTTGGGTTTATCGTAACCATTTTAAGGGTCCACCTGAATAAACAGTTAAGAACTAAATCGGGTGTATTTAGTCACCCGGGTAAAGCATAGCTACTTCACCAATCAGTATGAAAATCCAACCACACATAAAACATGAAAAACACCTGAGTTGCTTATCGATAGAGATCACCCAGGTAGACTATCGGGGATTGCCCAAATCTTCAGATCGGTGTAGTTTGGAAGGTAGCGTTTGGATAGGATCAGATCCTTCGCACCAACTAGCGTGTCCAAACGGTACAAGACAACGTAAAGTAAATAAGACATCAATCAAGGAAGAGGACAAAACTGTATAAGACAAACTGAGTCACTTCTTTACATGGGTGAACAGTGGCGAACGATGCCCTGTCTCCCCCACTCCCTCTTTTTACGCTATAAATACCTTGTGTAAACCCTAAAAGAGGGGATCTGAATTCTCTCACTAGAAAGTTCATGTACACTTCTACTATACTCTAGCCTACATTCAAAAACGTCGGGCTACAGGTGTTTCACCTACAGTCCTCCTGGTCATTAGTCATTTCTCGTACCTTTTGCTTATTTTACTTCAGTAAATTACCCTAGACCTTGGCTAGAGTAATTTACCGGTGTGTACTTTACAACATAACTTCTTTACAATAATTTATAGTTTTCGTAAGACGATCTTGTGTGGTAGCAACGATTGGATATAAAATTTTATTTTCCGCTATGTTATCCATGCGTGGTTACCCGACAAGTTGGACATTCGTGTAACAACTTGAGGGGAATACTGTTAGCGGGTATTTCATGTGAATAAGTTTTGTATGTATTTTGGATTTGATGTCAAGCGAAGTCATGTACTTGTATGTATATATATATATATATATATATATATATATATATATATATATATATTGGATTGTGATTAATGAAACACAGAATAGTTTATGCCAAAATTCTACAATAAGTCAATGTAATATTTATAGGAACGCACATTCTAAGAACTCTAACTCACTTTTAAAAGAAGTACGAGTAGAACAAATCTGCCAAGCTTCTTTTCCTATCAAACATAGAAAAAGACTAAATAATGTAAATCAAATAGGATTAATATTAAAATGGTTTGTTTAGATTGTGTTATTGAAAACTTTCAGAATTTGATTTTAGTAGAATTATTTTATAGAAAACTATCAAAATTTGATGTTATTAAATTTATATTTTAAAGAAAACTTTTAAAATTTAATTTGATTATATTAATATATAATATAAATTAAAAATAATTGATGATTAAAATTGATCTACTTTAATCCTTAAAAAAAACAAACTAGATAAATACAGAGTAGGCCATCCTATATATATATCTAATCTAATCTATCTAATCTAATCTAATCTATCTAATCTAATATATCTAATACTCCCTCGGTCCCACTTTCTTTGTCCACTTACCTTTTGGCACACCATTCAATGCACTTCTTTAATCCATTTTATCTTTTAATTTGTATATTAAAAATTATAGAAATTATATATTAATAATTAATATGTTAAGACAAATCAAACAAGATCACACATGACTATATTTAGACTTACACATTGAGAGAATTTGATGAGTCAAAGTGCTTAGATGAATAGTTTCAAATGTCAAAAGTGGACAAAGAAAGTGAGACGAAGGTAGTATATAAAGTAAGGTTAATTGGCTGTGGGGTTGGACGGCTGAGTTGGCATCTGCCGTGGCTAAAACAGAAGGAAGCCCCTGAGTCCTGACTTCATTCCACTCCTCCACTCATGTTTCCTTCTACGCAGACCCGTCCTCAAACGGCGACTGGCCTTACCTCACAAGATATGGACCTGCTCCCCTATATCCGTTCAGCAACCGATTCTGACTAATGCAGCAGTCATCGCCGGCTTGCCTTCCTCCTAATGCAGCAGTCCGATTGCCACCACTGATGCAGCAGCCGTTCGCCGCCACTAATTTAGGTATCCCCAAATCCCTAATTGCTTCTTTTTATGCTATTTCTTGAATTCCGCCACTAATTTATGCTATTTCTTGAATTCTAGTTTCTTGAATTCCAGTTTCTTGGACTTAAATTAGGATGTTAGGACTTTTAAAGAGAAAAAAATATATTGAACACAAACATGTCAGATAAAGACATGTCAAAAAATATACTGAACACACGATCAATTTTCATGTCAATTTTCACTAATCTTCCCTTGAAGGTAATCTTGATATCTTCTTTGTTTTTTTCTTGAACACAAGATAAATATTAAGATTTGAGATAAATGTTTTTTGTTTTGTGTTTCGTCTGAAAAGTGCAGCTTTATTAGAGAGGTATAGTTTTGTTAACGAAAATATACGTTGCACATTATTAAATATGGCAAGCATCCATTTAAAGGGATTTGTTTTGGTCAAACTCCTCTTAATATTTGTTTCCTAGTTTGTAGATAATTAGTGCATGGTAGAGTTGTATAGTTATTGGGTTTCCTTGTATTAGCTAGTTATATATATATACTGTAACATGCTATGGAATACGCAAGAGAGAAAATATATTTTTCCATATTAAAGCTTTTCATGGTATCAGAGCCTACGGGCCTTATTTTTTTTCCGTAAATCTTCTTGGGCGTAGACGTAGATGACAAATTCAGGAGAGAAGAAATCTGACGGCGACACCGGCGGTAATGGCGCTCCTCAACGTCGTATGATCTCGCCCTACGATCTTCATGCCAACGATAATCCGGGGTTGATTATCACGCAGGTCATCCTCAAAAGCGAAAACTACGAAGAGTGGGCACGTGCAATTTGCACAGCCCTTCGTGCTAGGAAGAAGTTTGGGTTCGTGGATGGGTCGATCCTGAAGCCCGCCGATGACTCCCCGATCTGGAAGATTGGTGGACCAACAACTCACTTCTTGTTTCTTGGATCCGGAACACGATCGAGTCGTCTCTTCGTACAACGATCTCGCACATGGAGATGGCGCAAGACCTATGGGATTATATCAAGGCCCAGTTTTCCGTTGTCAATGGCCCACGAATTCAGCAACTCAAGAGGGAATTGACAATGTGCGATCAACGTGGCTTGACTATCGCTTCCTATTATGGTCGTTTGAAGAAACTTTGGGACGACTTGAACGATGTTGATCCTTTTCCTACTTGCACGTGCGGTAAATGTACGTGTAATCTTGCTCAACAGTTGGAGAAAAAGAAGGATGAAGAGAAGGTTCATCAATTCTTGATGGGTCTTGACAAAGCTTTGTATGGTCATCTTCGTTCCACCATACTCTCCCAAGAACCATTTCCCACAACCGGCCTGGTATATCGCATCATGACACAAGAGGAAACAGCACGGGCGACTCAGGGTCGCGAACGACCCGAGAACACTGCATTTGCGGCACGGCTCACCACTGTGGATAAGCCATGCGATAAAATTGGGTCGTGTTCACATTGTAAAAAGCCAGGTCATGACAAGGATACTTGTTACCAGCTTCATGGCTATCCCGAGGGTTGGGGTCGTCATAACAGCGGCGGCTGAGGTCGTGGGCGTGGGCGTGGCATCTCTGCACGCTGTACATGCTGCGGCAACAGGGCTGTCCGGAAGCAGCAGCGCCAGTGAATCCTCCGCTGGTGCAACGGTGGTTCCTTCTCTCTCGGCTGAGTAGTGGGAGACGTTTAGGGCTCTTTTAGCCTTTGTCAAGGATCCTCCGTCTGAAAAATTGTCAGGTATTCCTATTACTAAACGGTGGATTATAGATACGGGTGCCACGAATCATATGACGTGAGATTTACAATGTTTGATTGATGTACATTCTATACTGGGTTGTTGGATTCGTTTACCGGATGGAAAGACAGTAACGGATACAACCACGGGTTGTGTTCGACTTAATGATTCTATTGTTCTGCACAATATTTTCTTTGTTCCTGATTTGAACTGTGATTTACTCTCCGTGTCTCATTTGATCAAGGAGACTAATTGTCTGGTAAAATTCAACGGCCCACTATGTTTATTACAGGACCGTACCACGATGCGGGTGATTGGTGCGGGTAGACAATCTGATGGCTTGTACTATTTTCAACACACCTCTATTGGTTGTGCGTTGTCAAGCGTGAAGGAATGTCAATTTGATCTGTGGCATCGACGACTTGGACATCCGTCACCAAAAGTGTTATCTTTCTTATCTGTTGCTAGTGATAGTGCATCAAGTGTTTTGAATAATGGGCCCTGTGCTATTTGCCTGCGTGCAAAGCAGTGTCGTACTTCTTTTCCTTCCAGTACCAATAAAACCACAGAATTATTTCAAGTGATTCACATTGATGTATGGGGTCCGTACATGACAGCAAGTTTGGATGGTTTTACTTCATTTTTGACTATAGTGGATGATTTTTCTCGTGGTACTTGGGTCTATTTATTGCGTGCAAAATCCAAAGTGCCATCCATTTTTCGTCAATTTTATGCTTTAATTGACCGACAGTTTAATAAAAAGTTAAAGATTGTCCGAAGTGATAATGGAACTGAGTTTGAATGCCTCAATTCCTTCTTTCATGAGCAGGGTATCTTACATGAGATGTCGTGTCGTGGGACGCCACAACAAAATGGTAGGGTTGAGCGTAAGCATTGACATATTTTAAATGTTGCGCGCGCCCTACGTTTTCAAGCTTTTCTACCAATCGAATTTTGGGGGGAGTGCATACTTGCTGCGGCATATCTAATTAATCGGACTCCCTCCACCGTGTTGAAAGGAAAAACCCCGTACGAACTCATGTTTGGTTGCCCACAGTCGTTGAGCTCCATTCGCACCTTTGGTTGTTTATGCTATGTTCATAATCAAGATCATCACGGAGACAAATTTGAAACTCGTAGTGTGCCGGGCGTATTTTTGGGCTACCCCTACGGGAAGAAAGGGTGGCGTGTCTACTGCCGGGATACCGGGAAATTTATTACTTCTCGTGATGTAATTTTTCACGAAAATGTCTTTCCATTTCAGGAAGGAATTTCTTCCACTACAGATGCTTCATTGGACAGCTTACAACTTGGTTATTTAGATGATGAAGATGACGTACGGATTCCAGCCAGGGGGGGCCTTGCTCCAACCGCACAAAGGATGCCCATTCTACAGTCCTCGTCCTCCCTGCCTACTGTTTCTGCACATCCAGAAGACTCGTCATCCACTGCCGACGCCCAGCCTATGCTCTCTGCTGTCCAGCCGGAACTGCCGTCCACCACTGCCGAAATCCAGCAGGCTGTTTCCAGCACCGAATCAGCTCCTGTTTTGGGTCGTAGCCAGCGACAGCGAACTCCCAATGTGTGCCTAAGTGATTACCAGACCTATGCTATCACCCATGGTGTTTCTCCTGCCATTCCAAATTGTAAGTATCCTTTGACACATTACATTGGATATGCTAAGTTTTCAGCAGGTCACCGGGCTTATTTGGCGGCTGTGGATTCTGGACATGAGCCCCAACTTTATAAGGAGGCCGTGAAGTCGCCACATTGGCGGCAAGCAATGACTGCCGAGATCCACTGGAAAAGAATGACACTTGGCAACTTGTTCCTTTGCCACGTCACAAAAAGGCCTTGGGTTGCAAGTGGGTATACCGTATCAAGCGCAAGTCTGATGGCTCGATCGAGAGATATAAAGCTCGCTTGGTTATTTTGGGAAATCATCAAGTTGAAGGTATTGACTATCAAGAAACTTTTGCTCTTGTTGTTAAACTCACTACTGTTTGGATTCTTCTTGCTGTTGCCGCTACACGCAATTGGGAGCTTCATCAAATGGACGTTCACAATGCGTTCCTTCATGGTGTTTTGAGTGATGAAATCTATATGCGACCACCTCCAGGTTATCGTTCTCAGACGCCCGATTTAGTGTGCAAATTACGCAAATCTCTCTATGGCTTAAAGCAAGCCTCGCGGTGTTGGTTCACAAAATTGTCTGGTGCGTTGCGTCGCTATGGTTTTGTTCAGTCTCATTCTGATTACTCCTTATTCTCTTTTCACAAAGGTGGCTCTGTGGTCCATATTCTTGTGTATGTTGACGATTTGGTGATAGCCGGGAATAATTCTCTTGAAATTACCCGTTTTAAGAAATATCTTTCTGATTGTTTTCATATGAAAGATTTGGGTGCTCTCAAATATTTTTTGGGCGTTGAAGTCGCCCGGAATTCTACAGGTATATTTTTGTGTCAACAAAAATATGCTCTTGATATTATTTCTGAGACAGGATTACTTGGATGTCGTGCACTTGGCGCTCCGTTGGAGCCTAATCATAAATTGGCATTGGCTACTGGACCACTTCTTGCCGACCCAGGGGCGTATCGTCGTCTGGGTAGGACGCCTTGTCTATTTGTCTGTTACTCGTCCTGATCTTTCTTATGCAGTTCATACCTTGGCTCAATTCCTTTCAGAGCCAAAAATTGATCACTGGAACGCTGCTCTGGGCGTGGTTCGTTATCTTAAAGGCACACCCGGGCATGAAATTCTTTTACGTTCTGATAGCTCTCTTTTCTTGACTAGATGGTGTGATTCTGATTGGGCTGCTTGCCCTTTGACTCGTTGTTCTTTGACTAGTTGGTTTGTTCAACTTGGCGTCTCTCATGTCTCTTGGAAAACGAAGAAACAACCTACCGTGGCTCGTTCTTCTGCCGAAGCTGAGTATCGTTCTCTAGCCGTCTTAACCTGTGAGCTTAAATGACTTCGTCGGTTGTTGCGTTTTCTTGATGTTCCTCATCCAGCACCTATCCAGATTTTCTGTGATAGTAAAGCAGCGCTTCATATCGCTGCCAATCTTGTGTTTCATGAGCGCACTAAGCATATCGAGATTGATTGTCACTTTGTTCGTGATGAATTATTACGTGGTTCCATTCGTACATCTCATGTTTAAACTCATAACCAATGTGCGGATATCCTTACGAAAGCTCTGGGCAAAGGATGGTTCGATGCTCTTCTTCCCAAGTTGGGCGTTTGTTTGTTACACGCTCCAACTTGAGGGGGGGTGTTAACGAAAATATACGTTGCACATTACTAAATATGGCAAGCATCCATTGTGGAGAAATTGATTTGTGCTACTGCGTGACTTGGAGAAATATCATGCATGGATGGCGGCACATTTAAAGGGATTTGTTTTGGTCAAACTCCTCTTAATATTTGTTTCCTAGTTTGTAGATAATTAGTGCATGGTAGAGTTGTATAGTTATTGGGTTTCCTTGTATTAGCTAGTTATATATATACTGTAACATGCTATGGAATACGCAAGAGAGAAAATATATTTTTCCATATTAAAGCTTTTCAAGTTTGCATATTGAAATTGCCCACCATCACGATGGGTATGTAATGTGGCAAGAAACTAGACCTATGATGTTGTAAGAACTTGAGCACATAAAGGCATAATCTCTTTTGTTTCCCTTATATGATAATATCAATCCCTTTCCTTCAATAATTTTTTTATTGTTTTATTCCTTCCATTTTCCCTGGTTATTTGAATGAGCAGAAACAAGGTGCAAAGATCTACACTTGATTTTCTGGTAGGAGGTTCTCTTCTACTGCACATCACATGACAAAAACCTATTAAGAAGGTTATCAATATTTATAGAATTTAACGCCACTCATATTGGCTGATAATGAAACAGTTTTATAAATTAGTGACCAACATTATGCAGACACTAGCCGCATATTGATGACATATTGATGAATTTATCTAGGAGTGCCCTATTTATTCATTTTCATGCTAAAGGTGTATTTTTCCATCTTTGAACGCTTCTCAACATTCCAAAAAAACTTTCACGCGGGCTCAAATGTGACTGAATCACGAAACAAGTAGCATTCTCTTTTTGCATTGATTTGCAGTTGAATATGGCCTTTATTTAATTTAGGCAGTAATGTTATCCCATGTATAAAGAAGGCTATAACTCAATTGGGACTGTGCAAGGGTGATATTGACTCTAAACACAGAGGCCACATTGATATCAAGTACCTGCAAGATGTTCTTTGGTGTCTAGGTTGGATAAGTATAACATTTTCAGTCTATTCGCATCGTGTTTTATTTTCCCCCATCCCTTTTTACAAATATATTTTCTTACACAAGCAAACTATTTGCAAATGTATCTTTTCTTTCTTGCAGTTCTAAATAAATTCTAATATCTACAAGTGGTCATCATCTGGGAGTAATTGGTTTGGTAAAGGCCGTAGAAACCATTCAGGTGGATTATCGAAATCCATTTGCATGTCATAACTTGGTGGATTACATAGGTCTACCACAACATTTTAAAGGGACTAAAAGATATTGCTTTTTTCATTCTTGATTTGAAGTTCTTCGGTTTTGTTTTTTGAATCCTCTAGGAAATCAAAGAGAATATATGTTTGGAGATGAGAAATAGGAAATCAAGATTTGGTGTTCTGAGAAAAGGATCTTCTTAAGTTCTAGGATCAAAGTTGAGAGCTCCCATATAATACAGGTGATTAGTTTTTATCCTTTTCCCTTCTCTCTTTTGAGGAAATTTTACACGTTTTTAGTAGTTGTTGTAGGGGATATTCATGCAAAACACATCATTATTGGTTTACTAAGGTTTCGATTAAAACAAAATTCTTTTTTCACATAAAATGCAACTCATAAAACAATGGAGGTGCACTTAGGTGAACTCTTTAGCCCAATGTTTTTTTGCCAGCGTTTCTTTTCCCACCTTCTACTTTCCATGTGTTTTAGGTATTCTACATTTTGCTTTATTTCTTTCTTTTGACACTGAATTGTTCTGGTAAGAAGGTGGAGAGTTGAGTGGTTGTGTGATCGAGAGGCCGGACCGTTTCTTTTCCTCCCATCCACCTTCTGGCTCTTTTAGGTATCCTCCCTCTATAGGCCTTTAAGCAAGAAGCAACCATACAACACATTACAAAACATTATCAAACTCATACAATTAAAAAATTATTTATCAATTCATAGTCTTTTTTATGAATGCTCCAGAAATTAACCATTCTTAGTTCCGTCCGAGAGACAATGATATAACTAAAAATGCTGAAAAGGGTTGATTAGAGGAAGAGGACGATTGGTGTGGAGTTGGAGCATTGATCCATTAAGAGTATTGCATTATTTTTTATTCATTGAATCTTCTTCTTCTTTCAACTGGCGATCAAGGCTACAATTCTTATTTTTCTTTCGATATGTTATCAAGGTAAACGTTAGCCCTTACTCTTTCTATTCCATTCTTATTCAATTTCATAGTTATTATTTTATTTAGTACTTCGTAGTTAGGTTGTTTGTTCACAATTTTTTTCAATTGTGTTAAAGGTTTTATTTTTTCATTGTTCAATTCTTGATTTATATTATGGTAAATTGTAGAATTTTTGTCTCAAATGTGTCAAAGATTTAAATTTTTATTATTGTTTAATTATTCATACATGTGTTATAATGAAGCACGCAGATAATTATTCCAAGACGACACATTTTATTTTTATTAAGAACATGGCCAACTTTGCAACGACTTAGGGATGGCCAATACCATCCGGGTTTTGTTTCATTTACGAGCCTTTCGAATAGATGCTCTACTTTCGCTTTGTTTGTTTTATTGGGAAACACGTCTTGGTTGTTTTGCTATATTAATCCATTGCCTAACACATGTTAATAATATACAATACCGATAAATTTCCTTCCATGGGGGTTATGAGTAGAGCAATTTAGGTGGCCTCAAGACAAGCGGTTTATCTGGATGCCTCCATCTGTCTTTGTTATTTGGTATGTTTCTGAATTTCCCCATTGTTTCTTTATGTAGTGTCCTCTCTTCCTTGTGCTTCAATCTTTTCCCCTTTCCATGAGCAGGCAATTTTTAAACTAAGTCCTTTGAAATGGATGACTGCTCAGCAAAGAGGTCTTTAATAGTTCAATTGCAAAATTGGCCATGTAGAGAGTAAAACTAGGTGAGATTAATTCCCCATAGGGGTTCCGTAGTAACATGAGGTTGCATTTTTATTTTGCATTAAATTTTCATCATTAAGTTTGGTATATGGTTCCTTGGGCAGATTTGATGGAGTAGTCATCATCAGTTTATTTCAATGAAAAAAAGGTGGATTTGATATTTAGATGAAGAACATTCCCTCTAAAGCCACACCTAAAGTCGTCATAAAATTTTCACATGGCATTTGCGACTACTTCAGTGCCGCAAACAAGAGAGATTGTCCTATATTAGTTGCAATTTTTAATTTTAAGCACTATCCATTCTCTAATACACATATCTGTATTTTATAGAACATGTTCCATGGGGTTTGGCTTCAATTGATACGGCATCATATTTTCAACTACTTTGTTTCAATAAAATTCATTCATATATTGACAATAGTGTTGCTCAAATAGGTACACGAAAGGGAAAGGTAAAGTTTTGATATATAGGTATAACTTTCACCGTTTATTCCCTGGACTTTTAAGCTAAAGTGAATCTTGAAATGTTGGCTGCTTATAGCTTCATTTTGAAAAGAATGATAAAATTTATGTAATAAAGATAGCTTCATTTTGAAAAGAACGATAATTTTTATCTAATAAAGATTCTTGGATACATCACTAATCGCTATTCCTTAAATAGAATAATATTTATTGTTTTAATTTTGAATTTACAGTGTGTTTGTATCTTCTTTGAGTGTGGCAGGTAAAGCTCCTTCAAGAAGCTGGATTCTTGAAGATTGACTTTTTTTTGGTGGGTTTTGCCAGGCCAAGGAAGTAGTGCAAGCCCAAGGCAACACACGAAAATCCATGCAGCAAGCTACTTTGATGGGCTTTCCCCCTTAAAAAATCAAATCAATATCCTGGCCAAAATGCCGAGAAAGGTAGAATTCTTGATGATTGACTTCATTCGCCACCTTTGTAGATGTCCATGTTCTTTGGTACTTCACCTCATAACATCATTTACCTTCATCTTTCCTTTAAAAAAAATTAATATCCGAAAAATTGCTCTTATATCATCTAGCACACTCACAGTAAACATACAACACATTGTTGAGAACTTTGGAGATTCTTATGTTTCATATGTGGAAATAAGTACGGTAGTACGGAGTATTTTTATCATAACATTACCGAGTCATTGTGTTTCCTTTTAAAACCCTTAGGTTTGCCTAAATTGTTCAAGATCATGATGGTGAAGATTTGATGATGTATACAAATCCTGGTGTACATTTATTAATAGTAAAATCTGTACTCATGTTTTTACCAGGTTGTCTTTAGTTGGAACTGGACTGGACTTGAGTTTTATAACTCTGGATATTCGTAAAGATGTTTTTGTTGGATTGTTTCCCTATTGGTTGGCAGCTTCAACGTTCATCATTACTATAGATTGAGATCTTTAAAGTCAAAGTTGTTCAAAAAACTTTTTTTTGTGTTCAAATTTTTGGACCATGCTACACTTACACCAAAAAATATACCCCATTTGTACACCACAGGTTTGCACAAACATTTCAATGGTTTACACCGACACAAGTGTTGGTGCATTAATAAAAATTCACGCGGACACAAATGTTGGTGCGTTTAACAAAAATTAGTTTTACACCAACACAAAATGTTGGTGCAAAACTGCGGGGTACAAATTGGGGTACAAATCTTGGAGTACACATAGCATAATCCCAAATTTTTTCCTTATACTTTTTTCCCATTTTCCCCTAATGTACTTCGTGTGGTTCATTCCTTATAGACTTTTATTTTCTCTTTTAGGGCTTAAGGCCCCGTTCCGTTCAACTTATTTTTTCTTATTTTTTTTATTCCTATTAAAATCAGATCAGATCAGATCTACAATGAAGTGATTGAGTTGAAAGGCAATATACGAGTTTTCTGTAGATTCAGACCACTAAATCCTGATGAAGTTGCAAATGGTTCATCATCTGTGGTTGACTTTGATTTGTCTCATGAAAATGAGATACAAATTGTCTCCTCTGATTCTTCTAGGAAACAGTTTAGGTTTGATCACGTTTTCAAACCAGATGATGGCCAAGGTAACTATGATCTTAGCGGGCACATTCTGGTATAACTGTGAGACAAATCTTCTATTAGATACTAATATAATTCGTCAATTTCTGCAATGCAGAAGCCGTTTTTGTTGAAACCATGCCAATGGTAACCTCCGTGTTGGATGGTTATAATCTATGCATTTTTGCCTATGGACAAACGGGAACTGGCAAGACCTTCACAATGGAAGGAACACCTGAAAACAGGGGAGTCAACTATCGGACATTGGAGAAATTATTCAGCTCATCTAGTGAGAGAAGCAGTATCATCAAATACGAGTTGTTTGTCAGCATGTTAGAGGTGTACAATGATAAGATAAGGGACCTTCTCATAGAGAACTCCAACCAACCCACTAAGAAGTAAATTTCTCTTCTCCTTAGACCTTGGCTTATAGTTTTGTTCAAATGTTACTGCTTGAATATGGTCATGTACTGTGCCAATTGTGTTTATCTCTGGAGGGAACATTTTAAGAGCTCCTGTAATCCTGTATCCTAAGCAATTTTTTACTGGATCCCTTACTATGCAGGTTGGAAGTGAAGCAATCTGCCGAAGGTACCCAAGAAGTTCCGGGACTTGTTGAAGCACGCGTGTATGGCACAGATGAAGTATGGGAACTCCTCCAGTCTGGTAGTCGAGCTAGATCGGTTGGATCAACAAATGCTAATGAACTTAGCAGTCGTTCTCACTGGTATAGTCTTAATGGATTCGTGATTTAGTCCATTTCTCCCTTTTGTAATATCAACG